GCGCGGGACGAGGGCTCGGCGGCAGCGGCGGCCGCCCGCGCACTCACCTGGCCCGAGGCCGAGCAACGCCAGGAGCAGCGAGGGCAGCCGGGCTTTGCTCCTGGCCAATTCCCCCTCCATTTCTCCTCCTCGGCTCTTCGTGCGGCTCAGTGGGCAGAGTCAGCTGCAGGAGAGACGGGGAGGAGCAAAGCCGCCTCTCGCTGCAACCCGTAGGGAGCCCTGCAGGAAGCCGTGCATCGCGGGGCACAGCCAGCTTATTAATTAGAATTAGCTCGATGATTAGGTGGCCGGGGGAAGTGCGCAGGACCCGTGCCGCCGACGATGGGAAACGAGGATGGCGGGGGCTGCCGGTGACCCCCGACCTTGCGGCATCTCTCGGCGGCCCGGTTCGGTGCCCGGATTAACGCCGGTGATGGCCGGCACGGCCCTGCTGGGTCTCCCGCTGGCCCTGGGGACGACCAAGCGCTCGTTGAAACGGGGCTTCCCAATATCAAGAGCACTCCCCTGGGGAAACCCAGGCAGCCCGAGCATCCTGGAGCCAGGTGGTGGGAGCACCCCAAGCTCCGGTCCCAGGGAGGGGACGGGGGTGCCCGAGCACCCTCGGGTGCAGAAAGCAGCAACGGGAGGGGACGTCCCCGAGGGGCTGCGAGGTCTTGGCTGAATCACAAGGGACGCACCTGGGGAACGGACGCCCTGGCAGGGTCCGGCGGCGATGCCGAGGCAGCCGTGGACCTGCCAAAGCGGTTACGAAACCGGGGCTCCCCCCGGGGCCCTCACGCACCTCTCCCCCCCCACTCGGGGGGCCGCAGAAAAGCCCTCTCGAGCCCTCTCAGCCACGATTTAGGAGCCCTGAGTTGCTGCGGGGGCTGTGGCTGGAAGGAAGCACTTTCCATTAGCAGCACAGAAAGCTTATTTTTTATTTAAAACCTCCAGCAACTCGAAGTGGAAAACAGGGAGGGGGAAAGCAGCCTCCGCAGCAGGGCTGCTCTCCCTGCAGCAGGACAGAGCGGCGGGGGGGGGGGGGACGGCGCTTCGCCGCTCCCCGCCTCCGAGCAAAACCGTTAACCTGCACCCAGGGGACTGTCAACTCCAGCCCTTCTCCTGGGGCTCCTTCAAACGAGGGTCCTCGAAGCGCCGGGGAAACTGAGGCCGGTGTGGGGAGGGACACGGGCTGTTTATGGCCAGTGAAGGCCCCAAAACCGCCTGTGCGG